GCTAGCAAGAATCAAAGCTACGAGGTTGTCGCTCATCCGGTTCACAGCCATGCTCACTATGAGGCCGATCACGGTGACCATCATGGCTGGGCAAGATCCGCTGGATCCGATCTCGCCTACAGCGCGTACAAGCCATCCGAATAGTTTTTTTAAAAGGACATCAAAAGTCTCCACTGCATCTAACTCATCTACCTTCGTACAAAGGACGATCGTCGCTACGTACTTAGCGAAATCGTCGAAAGGGTTGCCTCGGCTGTGCTCTCCACCCTTCCACTTATTCTCGACGATCATCGTCGAAACGCTTCTCCAAACATTTGACTCACACGGACGGATAGACGTTCCTTCGACAACGAGATTTTTACGTTTTCTCTCTTTTCTCCTCTATCTTTTTTTTTACTAGACTTTACACCGATACTTGTGACGTGACGTGGACGATCTATAAAAACAAAGACTAAATCGTTTAAACATTGTTAAATCGGTGCTAAAAGAGACTTCGCCGTTTTAGGTTTTTTCTCGACAAGTGCCGTGAGATAGTGTATCGATAATTTCGAGCAAAATGACCAAAAAACAAAAGAGACAGAGAGAGAGAGAGAGAGAGAGAGAGAAAGAGAAAGAGAGAGAGAGAGAGAGAGAGAGAGAGAGAGAAAGAAAGAAAGAAAGAAAGAAAGAAAGAAAGAAGAAGACGCAGTAACGAGATAGCAAGATACAAATGATTTCGAAGAGTACGGACTCTATCTCATTTACGTAAGAATAATGGTGTTGGCCGTCATCATTTCGTTGCGCGAATACCATTCATAGGTAACTGTTTGGAGGAAGATCATAAGGAGCGACGTCGACTCTTCCTGATGTCTTCGTTGAACGCTATTCTACTCTTAGTCAGTACTCACGCGGACTCATCAGTTTTATCCAATGATTATTTATACACCGACAATGCGTCGGGATCCTCATGTAACTCTCTCTCTTATTGCATTATTTATAAATAAATTATTTTATACAACGGAATCATAACCATTATTGACTTCCCTTCATTCGATTTTATTCGCCAATATAAATATTTGTATCTTTCGTCGTTTCTTTTTTTCTTTTTATTTCTGATTGTAAGAATTCCATGATTTCTACGTTCGATAATTGTCGTCGTATCGAATCCGGCGTTGAAAACGTTTTTGTTGATTCATCTAACAAAATAACGAGTTCATCCATTTCTTATTATTCACGTTTGAATGAAACGTGCTCCTTTTCAGGCGTATTCGGTGTATCTGAGGCATGCAAGTCGGGCGAACAAAATATAAACGAAGTATACTTTCGCTGCCTATAAGAATACACCAAGTGAAACCGATTGTTTTGTCGTATAAGAACGCCCTTTCCCCTGATGGCTATATAGATTGGTGATCTCACCCGTTAGATAGACAGTATTGTATGTGAACCCGACGAAATTTCATTCATTCTTTTCTTTGTGAATTTCTTCGCGAATACCAGTTAGAGTTTTATAATTGGTGCTACCAGGATTTCATACGTTTAATAGCGAAATTAGCCTAGATACCCCAAACATCCACGGTGAAAAAAAACTTTTATTATATATTATATTCTTGTTCCTCTTTTGTCGGAGAAGAAAAACTTTCGTTATCTTCCAATACGATTCTAATATCGTTGACTTTCTCTTGAATAACGGGGAAAAAGAGAAGAAAAAGAATGAAGAGTCATCTTTGCAATGTCTACCTACTCGTTCTCGTGTCAATGGGAATTACAGTCATCATGGAGCCGAAAAAAGATTTGGGGATGAGTAATAAGAATTCGTTAAATTTTAACGAGGTCTTTGACACGTGCCTCTCGAAAAAAGGATACGGTATCTTTGAATGTGCGAATCATGCTACAGTCGGTGTTCTTCGAACATTTAACGAGCAAGACGAGCTGAATTTGGATGTCTTCGCTTGGAGAGAGCTGGTGGTTACGAGCGAGAATTGGTCGATCTCGATTACGACTCGAGGAGCTTTGAGAACGTGATAATGGCCGCTGTGAGACTTATAGAACGCAGAGGCATGAAGTGGGACTTGGATTATTTATATCCGGGATTTCAAATGCGCGTTGGTCCGATACTAAATGCAAACGGGGTTTTAGAATTTGTATTGAACGAAAGACCATCATCGTACGTCAACAGGCAATCCGGAACAGGTTGGTTTGAAATGCAATTCGCATGTAAAATGTGTCCGAGTTTTGGATCATCGGGTTACGCTTATAATTCATCTATCGTCGATATTATCAATGATTTATCAATACAATTTACGGTCTTGTAATATTTAAAAGAAAATCGATAGAGTTAAAAGAGGATATCCTATAAATATAGAGGATATTCTATAAATATAGAGGATATCCTAGTTAAAAGAGGATAGCATATAGAAATTAAATTAATTAGTAGGAATATACAAGTTTCTGAACACTTTAGTTGTATGGAAACTTAATTCTTAATATCTTTTAGCATGGACATGAACCCCGTTTCTTCTTGAGGTTCGAATCTTGGCTAACTTAACAGCTGCTTTCGAGAACTACCTGCAGCAGGCAGCACGGTCAAGGCCACCGAGTCGTACCATACTCAAACGAGTTTCTCTTTTTCAGGAAGGCAGCTAACCAGACACCTGCTGCCCTTCCTCCTGGAGTTCAAGTTCAATTTCGTGTCCCTCATACCGCTATTATTTAGTGTGCTGCTGATCATTTCGAAGAAGGCCGTGCTGTTGACGAAAGTAGGACTCTTCATAAGTGGTTTTCTCGGTTGGACTTCTATATACAATGTTCCTCAAATTCGTCACTTTTTAATAGATTCACCCAATATGATCATCTTTATAAAAATCAAATAAAAAATAATGGACCTTTTTACGATCATTATTATAATCTCAATTTTCAATATCGAACTTATCGTGTATTGTTAAATATCCAATTTACTTCATATGATCGATATGTTGTGATTGATGTTTATGACGGTAGCGATCAGATGGATCAAAGTACATGAGCTAGTAAAAATTTTGCCTGGACAAAAAGTTCATTGATTAGAAAGCAGATTTGCTTCCTTTTATCTTTTTTACATGGCACACCTTCGTACAATTCAGTAGTGAGGATGTACGTTATATTTTACGCGATGGAAGAATGCACAATGTAATATCCTTGCTGTTTGACTGCACAAGTAAACGAACGCTTGTATCGCAAAACTACTGATCGTTACCCGCTAAAGTCTGTGCATAATAGACGTGGGTAAGTGGGTAACTGTTCTACCTGTGCTCTTGTTTTTGCGTAAATATATACGTCGAACGATAGGAAAGAACTTCTTTTATCGTAGTTCCGTTTAGCATTAATTTTCTGAAACTTTACCGATAAGATGATACACATATTTAGATATTATACATTCATAAATATTCTATATATAAATGTCAAATAATTTGAAATTGTATATTCTAATATAAATATTATATTAAATTAATAAAATTTGCTTTTAATGTCCCTTAATAAGACCTTATTTTTTCAGTTATCTGAGAAAAAGAAAAATACATCGTATACTGATACGAATGCGAATAATATAATCCTGTTAAAAAGAATATTGTTCTACGATTAATTGAGAATTTCTCATTTTGCCATAGGAGGTTTGATAGCAATCGATCTAGTTACACGATTTTCGTTACGACTTTAGTGTTGCTTTCACAAGGATCTTTGTAGGCCAATAGCAAGGATTTTTTTGAAAAAATCCTCGCGTTTTCGTTTGTAGAAAACGTTAATCCCATTTTATTATTGCTCCATTCTTTCTTTTAATCGTTTAACTGTACCTCTTCTTCTTCGGCAGGAAGTCGCGTCAGGATTCCCCAGATTGCTTTCCCGGAAACGCTTTTATACGAGAAAGAGTGACAAGCATACGATTATCGTAAGCTTTTAACAGAGTCCACGAAACGTGATGTTCCAAAAGAGTGATCTCCGTTAATTTTGTTAAACCCTGTAGACAGTCATTGATAAGATGTTACCACTTACATTTTTAATTCCAATATCATTCAAATATAACGGAGTTCTAGAAACTTTTTCTCTATTGATGATTTTCAGAATCGGTCGAGCGAAATAATGATTTTATTCTCACAAACAAAAGATAATTATTCCAATATATAATTACGGCCAAGTGAATAATAAAGGAAATAAGTCAATAGTTATAGAACGATGAATTTAATGTTTTAAAAAGAGTCAGGAATATGATGACGGCGATCATATATAAGTGCGTATAATTGTTATGATCGTTTCTTGAATGTAGCATATTACGGCAAATAATTGTTGTCGGATTAACAGTAATTCTGATTAATAAAATTAACAAATTTGATAGTATCAAGATACTTTATTGTTATTTTTCTCAGTATGTTTTTATTTTTACTTTGGCTGTATAAAACTTTTACTCACTCATTTTGAAAAATTCAAATAATTGTAAAATAATATTTATATGTTTGTTGTTGTATCGCTACGAAATTCGGCCTGTATAAGTTATGAATAAACAATAGCACGACTTTTGTTCAAATGACAACAAATTATAGTAAAAAAGGCTGATAATTGTCGAAAAAAGCCAGAAATGTTATTTATATTGAGAAAAAAAAGGAAGAGCACGTTTAGGTCGAATTGCTGTACTCTTCCGTAAAGTTTTAAGGCTTCGTTTGGTAAGAAGGTCGGAGGGATACTTACTTACGGGGCTGTACTAGAGATCGCTCTGCTTCAAGGGGTTCTCCTCCCGAGATGGGCGAGGCGTTAAACAGCGCGTGGATCGCGTACAACGATTCGTAAAAAGGAATCAAGTTGGCTTTGGTAGGAGAGACGGAAATCTACATAGAACGCTTATATATAAGTCCTAGAGCGTGGAGATCGCGTAGATTAGTCCTCCTTAGGTATAGAAGAAAGGACGTTGTTGAGCAGACGAAAGAAGAAGACACAAAGTTTCCTCGCATTTGTAGAAGCGTTAGATTAATCGTGAGATATTTTTAGTGATTAAAATGAAGAGGAATTGTTTTGTTAATTTCACCATTTTTGCCCTGTACTTGGTGACAATTTGTCACATAGTGATTGGAAAGAACGAGTATACAAAACTCTTCGAGAAGTGTACCAACGAAAAGAATAGTTTTAATTGTTTGAAGAGGCGTGCGTTAGAGATATTTGATTCTGCCATTGACGATGATTCGGTTTACGTCCTGAACGATTTCATCTCAATCGGAAGAGATCCTACATCCTTGGCTAGGAGTAATAAGGGTATGAAGATACATAATATCACGGAAAAGAGTCTCGATGAGCAGCTGGATAATAAATTTCATGAGTATCTGTCATCGAGGAATATACGCTTGACGATACCTGGAAACACCTTTGAAGGTATTCAAAATAACTTGATAATTTCTGTGTTGGTCGTAATTTTTTCATTTCTTTCAATGCAATGGTCGTTTCGTAATAACATTTAACAAATTAATTAAAGTTATAAACAAATGTTTTAAAAAGTATGCATTAGTAAAAATCATTTGTTTGTTCGTACAGGTAGAAGAAAGAAAGATAAAGGATATGGAGGAATATTGATGGCTGGTTTAGCTATGGCAGGTAATACGATTATTAGATATCAATTATTTGATTAACTAATATATTTAACATGATTAATTAAATAAATTGAAAATAATTTTTGTAGGAATGTTAGCTCAGCTTGCTTATGGAAAGATCGCATTCCTTGCTGGTACTGCATTGTTAACTGCGAAAATAGCATTGGTTCTTAGTGCGATAATTGGTTTGAAGAAATTAGTATCGAGCGGAGGTAGTGGAGGACATGAAGTGATTTATGCAACGGCTTCGGAACACCATGGTGGTTATGGCGGTGGTTACAGTGGTGGCTGGCAGAGAGCTCTGGAAGGAATTCCTCCAAGTTGATATTTTAAACGACCAATTTGTTATAAAACGATCTACTTACCGTTTATATCGACATGTTCACGTTATAAAAACAGTTCGTTCGTTTTAAAATGATTATAAAGAACAATACCTTTGTGCATTTCTTTCTTTACATGTTTTTAATTAAGCATATGAATTTCACCTGTAAATACTTGGTAGTAATAAGTACAATTTAACATGTATTTAATTATTTATGTATTTATTTGTAAAATGCGTTTATATGTTGATTTAATAGGACCACTTACTTCATTTAAAGCGTAATATTTTAAGTTTTTTGAATAAGATGGTCTATAGTTTCTAAAAATCTTTTCTCGATTTTGTAAAATAAAAATAAATTTATTAACCGAAAAAGAAATATGTTTTCATCTTCCTGATAAATGGAACTTTTTTGTGAGAATTTTAATGCATTTTTTAATTACAAGTTAATACTATAAACATCTATATGTAGCAACTTTTTTGAATTCATTGTTTATGAAATTATATTCTGCATATCTTTCCTCTTTCAACAATTTTTCCGCTCTTTAATTCCTTTATTCGCTATTTTTCTCTCTGAGGAAGTATAAAAAGAAGATAAGTAATTACACCGTAACGCATATAATTAAGGTAATAACATTTTAATTTATGTAACTTAAAATTAAAGTAATCAAACACTTAGAACATTTATCAAATCAATACAATTTGTATTTAACTTTTTTTCTAATGTCATGAAATGAGTGATTATCATAAAATTCTTTTTCAACTATGTTCTTACTTGTAAATAACTACATAAATAAATAAATGATAGAATGATCAATTTAATATTATACTTTGATCGATATTTGATAATAAATAGTATAAAAAAATAGATTAGATGCTTACATTATTGATAATAAATATATTATATATATATATATATATATATATATATATAATATATATATATATATATATATATATATATATATATATATATATATTATTCGGAACTAACTTATTTTTTAATATAATATAAAATAAGATATTGTTTTTCTATTCTTATTTATATTTATTTATGGTTTATTATTACAGTTCGGTGGTACTATGAATATTGCACGCAATATAGTCTGAAATATTGTATATACTCTTATTATACGATTCGTCGTCGTTTTCGATAGCTGTATCCACTTTCATAACCACCATGATGATCGTAATCAATACTTGAACTATGAGTCTGTACGTAGCTATGATGAGGATGTTTCACTATTTCATAAGACGTTTTCTCATTATGCTCTGAAAGAAATATTAAATACAATATAAAATAAAGGCTTATACGAAAAGAAATTAGAAATCTTATATTATAGAGACTTACCAAGAGCCTTATTCAAAATTGCTGCAGTTGCAATAGCTAAAGCAAATTTTGCAATTATTAAAGCTTTTCCCGCTAAAGCTGCTACAGCATGGATCATGATATAAAGCATGGTCGCTTTGGCTGCTCCGATCAAGTACATGAATAGCTTGCCATAACCTTTTTTCTTTTTCCGTCCTTTAGGAAAGTCAAATAAACAAATGAAGAATTATCAATTAAGATCTAGTTTTTTTATGTGTTTCGATTGTGATTGATTCATTATTTCGTTGCCTTTTAAGAAGTATATAAATTGTTACGATAATATATAATTATTCACATAAAAAAGCCGTCTTAAAATATTTCCGTCTAGTATTTCCGAACAATACCTTTTTATTATTTAACAGAAACAAAATGTTTCACCTTCTTCCACTCCATTCCCATCAAGATATCTCGTGTCATTATTCATACTTTGCATTTTTCTCAGCTCCTGACCCTTGGGTGAACTATCGTTGCAAATTGAAACATCAAACTCGCTAAATTTCGACGCGGTTTTACAATTCACATCCTTTGAAAGTTTTCGATTGACCAATTCTGTTTGACACTTAACGATGAGAGCGCTGAAGGCGAGAAGATGAAGTGCGAGGAAAACTTGCCGAAGCATGTTTGAATAGAACTGAGCGTTGACGGGCAAAGTCATTTTTATAGAGGAAGCAAACGTAATTAGTCTTGACCGGTGGTGCACGCTCGTGTTAGACGATACAGAGCGTGAATGCATCCTATGGTAAAATGCACGTAAAATTATTCCTTTGATTGCTTAGATAGTTATACTTCCGTATATTTTTTTTCTAGTACTATCGATTCATGTTTTTCTTAGAAGAGATATCAGCTTGAAAGATTTACTGTTTAAATATACATCTAGCATTTTCAATTAAAAACATATAAATGAAAAAAGTTAACTTTCACAAAAGTATTTGAATGATTATATGTTTACAATTGATGTTAACTATTTTTTAGTTACGAAAGTGAAACATTTTGTATATTAGATCCGTGCATAGATTAACTGTATGTTATAAGGCGGTTTTAATAAACGAAAGATTATCTATTTATTCGCTTTATGTATTCATTTGATTCATATTATTATTCTCTTTTATTTAGCGGCAATTAACCTCGGATCTTTACTAACCATCATACAGGATTGTTATTATTAAAAAACAATAACGACTCTTTTATTGGTCAGTTTATTGTTTTCAGATAAATGAATATAAAGATCAAAAAGAGAATAATTTGGCGGACCTCAATCGGATCTCGAGTAGTTCAGCGACAGCTGCAGGAGAAATGATCGAGAAATACACGCAGACGTGTCGAATGTGATTCCTAAAGACGTACTCGAAAAACCGGAACAATCGCTTCTGACGATCAAGCTTTTTGTCGAGAACAACACAACTTCCGTCCTAACTTAGGTTAAATATGTACATATATGTAGTGGAAAGTAGAAAATAAGGACTAAAAAATCCAATATTCTACTTCGACGATCATTTTGTGTGCCACTGGGCCACGCAAATCTTTGACTTGTCTCTATCTTCATTTCGTGAGGGGTTACACAGCTTCCAAAGATTATATCTTTCCATTGATTTTCCTTTGAATGGTATAGAATACCATTGTTGCGTGTCATCGATCTTACGAAAGAATATTTCCAACCTGTTCTTTTTCTTTAAAATGCACGATTAATTCACATGGAAAATCTATTGTTCACAAAGATATTTAGATAGTAATCGTTTATTATTGACGATAAAGTATAGCTTGACTTGACGTTTACCTGCGTCAGTAGGAGGTTTATCGAGATCTTATAGGAATATCTTATGTTCAAAATTTTTTTATATATACGCATTTAACAGTAATAATCCTCGAATATTATTGAAATTCTTTAAAGTGTAGTAATATACTTTCATATAAAAATATAATTTCTTTTATATAAAAGAAATCAGGAATAAATGTCAGATTTCTAATCGTGTTGTAAGTGTTTTAAATGAAATTAACAAGTACCCGTGACCATTGATCAGTTGAACTCTCGACTAGTTTATTATGTTATGCTTTTGAAATTACGCGTAAAATATATGTGCGTCGATAACGGTATATAGTGTAACTGCATTCATTGAAATCTTATCTATTGCATTTATCTTTTTGCATTTTCATAAACGAAATTCTAAAACATTCTTTCAAGAATGAACCATGTATAATTTTCTACGTATTTTGAGAAAGTGCGATTAATTCAAACGCTTTCGCGAAGCAGAGCGAATCTCGTTGACCGAGACTAGAAATATATTATATGAACATAAGTTTGCTCATGCGCAATTGTTGCGTAGAATCAGTGATCCAATTTAAAAATACGAGAAAAATCTCTCCCTTATCTGAGATATCTTCTGAGAAAATCTCTTGACTTAGAAATCTTTTATTCTCGTTAAATCGAAATCATCTAATTGGTAAAAGTGTATACATTGCGCAAAGTCATGTACTTTATTTATAATTTTTTTTTTTAGTCATAAATCGATAACGAATTATAAGAATGAAATTCATGACTTTTTAAAAAAATTACGAATTGATTACAAATTATTGTAGTTCAAATATTCTCGAAAATTTTTTTTGAATTTTCGTCACAGAATACAAAAATTTGATAAAAGACGTAAATTAATTTGGTCATAGTATAAATCGTATATAGTATAGATTATCTAATTATCGCTATAAAAGTTGAATATTCAAGAGTACGACCTATATATCCTTTACGCGAAAGGAAAGTAGTTAAGTATAGGTCCATTCGAGAGAGTACTTGTTTTGTGTAATGCGAGAAGAATTCGTCATAAGATACTACGTAAAATCTATTCTTCGCGTCGCACAGTTCGTGAGAAGTTAACTGTGTGTATGGAATGTGGAACGGGAAATGCGTTAATACTGTTGAAACGTCGCTCGTGGTAATGCACAGCGCCGATTACATGGGATGTATAATCGCGAAGTAGGTAACTGCATCGAGGATGCATCTAGTTATATCGTGCGAGATGCGCTAACCTCGATTGACTGTGTCAACGATGTGTACATCTACAAAATATGAAATACAGAACATTGTGTTTACGCTTCATAGATCATTTTTTATATTAGATATTCAGAATGTGTATGAATACGAATAGAAAAAGATAAATAACCTTTTTTCTTAAATTATTAACGATCCTCTATAATCTATGTGTCGTTTCATTTCATTCCTTAATGTTATGTGGTATAATTTAGGTTCGGATATATCCACGATTTTAAGTAATTCATAAGAAAATCTAGGTTTCTAGGAAAGATCGTCGCTTTTAATAGACTGAAATTGGCTGACATTATTTGGAATCGGCGATATGGCAAAGCATATCGATTACTAACACGGAAAAAAGAATCCAATGATCCAAAGAAGTAAAGTAGATCGTAGATGGAGCTCGTTCAGGCGAACGTCCCTGCTCCTGTAGAAAACTAAGGAGATAGGAAGGACGAGAGAGGCCTTCGCCGTGTATAGAAACCTTCGCGTAGTATTCCAATCGGAAGATCAGTAAGGTCATCGTGCCAAGCACGTACCAATAAAGACTTGGAATCTTCATGGAGATCCCTTCTCTTTACTAGACTTATCCCACCTACCCCAATACTCTGTCTCGTTTTAGAGTTTCGATTGGTCTACTATAGTATGTTTATGTGGTTGAGCGAATCGGAAGATGAGGAGATGAGTAGAGAAGAGAAGAACAGAGAAAACGTAAGAAACAGTGGAGGAATTGAATGCAATGGAGGAAGATGCCTCGATGCTCTCTCGAGTGGGTCTCTGTGTCAAGAAGGGTCACATGCGACTATTTCTTCCCCTCTCCTGTAGCCTTGCAGATACTCAACACGTGATTCGTGCGAGAGAAGGATGGTAAACGGTCTGGCGAAAAGAGGTTGGTCGAAAGAAAGAGGAGGACAGAAACATTGAGGAAGATAGATCGTGTCGTTGGTGATGTTCGCGAAATCGCACATAGGAGCTCTCACCCCCTTTTGCCGAGGATGCCATCTGCTTGGTATATATCGACCGGGGCCACTAATCCTGTCGACAGTTCTCTCTGATCGAGGATATGTCGATACGTGGATATTCAGCTAGCTCATATCTTTATTATTCATAATACTTCATAACACATTTACCGTTCGCTCTACTTGTGATTTTTACATTCCGGAAGGTGACAAAGCTCGTGAGATTTTTTTGATCCGGATACAATTAACGAAGAAATAGTTTTGAAATCGACAGGCGAGCAAGATGGATTTCTTCAAGTGGACTCTCGGAATTTTTGCTCTCAGTACTATGATTGTCGTCAATTTGGCGAACGAAGAGTTCAGTTTCTTCAATAAAGGATACCGTGTTCTTTACCGAGTTTATGAAGAATGCCAACAGCGTAACGTGGCTGTGTCATCGTGCCTAAAGAAAAAGGCTATATCTTTCCTCGATAGACTTGGTCGTATCGATAGTCTACCAATAGGAGAGAATTTAGAACTTATCAAAGTTGCTTCTTCGGCGGAAAACGAATCAAAGAGCTCGACAATCGATCTGGAAAGCTTAGGTCGCAATAGTGGTGTTTCCAAGGATGAGATACTCAATGATATTCTTTTGGATAGAATCGCAACTCTGTTAAATGGATTCAATGTGCAAATTCGTCTTCCAAAGACCAATTTTGGTGAACTGAAACGTAGCATCGAGGAAGGACGTGGTAAGATGAAGAAGATGATGGGAATGATGATGATGGGTATAGCCATGAAAATGGCTGCTTTGGTACCGATTGCCATGGGCGTTCTTTTCCTTCTCGCTGGTAAAGCTCTTATCATCAGCAAGATAGCTCTGGTACTGTCGTTGATAATCGGTCTGAAAAAGCTGCTTAGTCAGAAGCAGAGTCACGATTCTCACGGTGGATGGCAGCAAAGTGGCGGTGGATGGGACAGGAGTTTGAAGGAAGTGACCGCCGTCACGGAAGCCGACAGGCAGTACGCTCACAATCTGGCATACAGCGCGAGAGTACAACATTGATGGATAGCCGAGAAGGAAAGAGAGAAAGAAAGAGAAAGAAAGAGAAAGAGAGAGGGAGAGAGAGAGAGAGAGAGAGAGAGAGAGAGTAAGAAAGAGAAAGAACAGTTGAAAGAGGATGACAAGAATTCTGCAAGGAAATTATCTTGGAATTCTAATCTGTTAATGTAATTCTTTGTGTAATTCTTTTGGAGGAAAGATTCTTCAAAGATTCTTGCAAAATATTCTTTTAAGATTTTGACTATGACGAACGACGTGACTCAAGACTGAATTGTGTAGAAAATGATATCGCTATTATTTTAATCAAGTGTCCACGTTTTTCCTGTAAAAGTCCATTATACCGTTTGGATTTCTTTGGTAATTCTATTAAAACGACTTCATTCCTATCGACCTTAAACGCTTTTTGATGTTGACAAGTTTTTATGTTATCAAGAGAGTTATAAAAAGAAGAATTCGAATTCGGAAGAATGTTAATATTATTCGACAGCATATCAAAATATCTTAATTAACGAGCGAGAAATGGTTTTCGCGTGATAATACTTATTGATCCAACGAAATGCCGATAGGATAACGGATACTGTATTTCGTGCACGCTAGATCATAACGGGATCGATTCGAGTTAGTTTAATAATCTCGCTACTTTCTTTTTCGTGTAATCGCTGAATTTCGTGATGAATATTTACGAATATCCATTATGAAATACTCTTATTATAAAAAACTTATATTTATTATTTATTATACTATATAATATCTATTTAGAACTCCGTCTGAATAATATGACATGAGTCCTAGAATCAAAAATTTTCTAAACGATGACTCGTTAATTTTAACAACACTCTCGTAAGTCTGGCATAGTTTAATATTTAACTAATTTAAGTTTGATGCGTGTAACTATTAATGAATAATGAAGTAATAAAACATAATTGTATTAAAATGAACCTTGGTAATTTTTAATATTTCCCATTGCACGTTATTAATTATAAGAGTAATCAAAAATAAAGATAAATTTGTTGGTTCAACGAACGAACTTGGTAATCTCTTAAAATTTATTGCAGAAGTTCGTAACATGTTAGAAGAACCAACAAAATCTTGGTCCCAAAAATAGATTGAACTCATTGTTAACCCGAAATTAACGATGAAGAAATATGATTGGTTACATGAAAATTTTTAATATCAAGGATACGAGTAATCATATATCACCCGTTTTGATTGAATGAATCCATTCGTCCTTTTGATTTCTTTTTTCTTATTTCCATGAGCACAGAACATTTTTAAACAGGTTTTGATGATATTTTCATTCTATCATCGATGACGCATGTACATACGTAGATTTTAGTGGCCCTTCAGACTTAAGACAGCAGCAAAAAGAGAGAAGAAGAATCCCACGAGTAGTGCTTTACCGATTAGTAAGATCAAACCACCTAACATTGTTGGTATCAATGCTATAAACTTCATTTTGTATGCCAATAGCAGTGCCATCAAGGCTCGATGTCTTCTGCGACGTTTCTTTCTTTTCGGTCGACCTAAAAATCATTTTCAATGTAAAATAACACACAGTCAATTTTTTAATTGATGAAAAATTAAATTGACTTTTAGTTAAATTGTATAACGTGATTATAAAACAAATTACCTCGTAGTTCGTTGTTAATTTTTCCATTAACCGTTTTTATTTTAGCATTTTGTTTTTGATCCTTTTTCGAATGTTCCTGATTGAGACGATTTAAAAGAAAAATTCCATGCGTGTCAATTTTGTTGTTATCTTTAACAATCTTGGTAGCATCTAGAATACGCATCTCAGAGCATTCTTTTTTCTGTTTGTTTGTTTCTTCATTCAACGATTCAATCGACTCAACGTTTTGTAATGCCCGAACGATATAACAAAAGATTGCCAACAACAGAAACCCAACTAGATTCGCTTTCGTTTTCATTTTTTTCTCTTTCTCTCTCTCTCTCGCTCTTTCTCTCTCTCTCTCTCTCTCTCTCTGTTCGTCAACGTCACTGCATCACTAGATCTTCAACAGTCTTCTTTCATAAGACGATCTCGCAACTTGTCCGATCATGTCACCGACGAAACACATTCGAATACTTTTTCTTCTACAATCTTTTTTCGACGTTTCAATCTTCTTTCGTTGTCCTTCATTCATTCAACGTTTTACACGTTTGTTTTGAATGGATGAATTTTGCGATTTAAAGATCGGGAGAACGTACGGTCTAACGAACGAACAAGAACTAACCGAACCGTTCTTGATGACGAGCCAAGAAGACAGGGGCGGTGAGGGGACTAGGAGCATGTCGAGCACGCTTCAGTTGCCGAGAAGATCGACAGTCCGTAAAAAATGAGTAGCGAGGGAAGAGCGACGAGCGGGCAATACATGCGTATGTTAACCACTATAATCTAGATAGTCAGAGTCGATGTATATATGTATTGAATTAAATTCTTGTATGCATGTATGCTTCCATAGTATATGATGTATCTATGTTTGCGTTTTGTAGAACTTCTCTGTGCGTTTATTTATATGTGTGCATTGAGAGGCGGAGGATAATGATGTGTACCACGACGTCTAAACTACCTTCCTTGTTCCCCTCCTCACTAGAATGCTCTTCGTAAATTTATAGTCAACCTATTCCTTCGTAAAGTATAAATATCTGGTACTATTTATGAACTGATGCTTATAGTTTGATTTACTTGGTGAGTTGATGAAGTTGAGTAGTTGGATGACATCGATTGTTTCTTTCACTGAATTGTGGCTTATGTTTCTAGCGTTTCAATTGATTCGTGACGATGTTATATTTAAATTTCAGGTAGATAGATATTTGATAAGTTGCTTCGAGCATATCATTTGTCCAATTATCTGTTTTACATTTTTTTTTATATTTGCACTTGATACAAATAATTAAGTGTAATTTTCGTCGCAAAATATCCCAACGTTCTTCTGTTTTATCGTAAAATGAAGCCTAAATTCTGATATTGCATACCTACATGTATAAAACTCGTGGAAAACATATTCTTCTTCAACTCTTACCGAGAGGAAAGAAATTCAGAATCGGTGGCGAATGTCATCGAATTAATCGAATCTTTCGTGTATGAAGCGAATAACCTAGATATCGGTAGTTTTATTCACGTGCCACCCTGAAGGCATTACGTTTGTTTGTCGAGGAAATGCCAGGTAATTTCACTCTTTCTCGGCGTATCTAGATTTGAGATAATTGTCTTCAGAGTTTGGGAAAATGTATTGAACATTGAATAAAAAATAGAATACCGAAAAAAGAAAGAAAAAACATACTTAGATAGTACTAATTTTGAATGATAATAATTGAATGACAATAATAATGATATTCGAGAGTTATACTTAATGAATTCGTAGAATAATACATACAGTTATAATGACAGGATAAATCAGAGGCTAGACATTTCTGGTAAAGTCAAATTACGTAGATCTCTGTTAGGATCAATAACGGAATTGAATTAATTCGACCGTTTCGATTCAGTATCTAACGTGCTAAATTCGTTTTAAATTAAAACGCATGTGCCAACGTCGTCTTACTTGATCAAAGACTGTGACCAATCTTATCAATGCAAGAATTTATCATTCCTAGCCGTTATCAATAGATTAAAGGACACGAAAGCTTCGAGTAAGAGAAAACTATCTCAAATACGTCCTTACGTAAAGATCGTAGTCAAAACGTAATCTATGTTTCGTTTTTTCATTTAACTTTCTTTACAGTATCAATTATTAAAGACAGCTGATTCGACGGCAGATATGATAAGAAGATGATCTCAGGTAATTGAACGTTTCGCGGCGTGGAGTTTCAATCGTAAACAGACCGCTGATCGGCTGAAATATTCGATACACGATCTAACTCGAGTGTGAAACGAAGTGGATCGACGAAATAGCATTTTCCCAAGATGACGTCTCTTACGATGATGATGGTGATGATGATGAGGATTCATTCGTTCGTTCACTCGATCCTGACTGTGATCTACTTGCCCTGGTTTTAATATTCGGAGGAAGATGTTTAGTCCAATGATTGGACAGACTGTGATTGGATGGCGGATCTTTCGTCACGCGTCGGTACCAACTTCGTGAACTCCTTCTTGGGTCTTTTCGCTGGTACCCTATATAAACTAATGCTTTGGCTGAACGTGACTATCAGTTGACATCTTATTTTCGAACCAGTTACCGGAGACGTTGCGTTGGTAACCCTAAGGAAAGGGTTTCGGGTTGAGCTGGATCTCGAAAATGTACATCTATGTGCTGTTGATTTTTCTACCCTTGTTCGTTAGCACGGAAATAGTACAGGAAACGCAGGAACGAGCTATATTGAAGACTTTCAGTGGAATCGGAAATAATTCTTGGATGGCTGATCGGATTTTGAATGTTGTCGAGACATTTATTCCTTATTCAAGATTGTGTAATACCATGAAGAATCTTGAGGAAGGTACAAACAATTTGACTGTCCCAGATTTTACTATGTGAATTTAAATTTTGTATTAAACTTTTCTTTATAAGTTAGTGTTAGATAAAATAAAAACTAAAATTAGGAATAAGAGTAAACGATGCGTGAACATATGTCCGTCAATTTTATGATTTTATCGGTATCGAGGAAGCGTGAAATTACTATTACGCTTTTTATTGTTTTGATGTTTATCGCAATATAATACCTTAAACCGTTTACGGTACTCGACTTCCTGGTACAAAAAAACATAAATACTTTCTATTCGAGTTGATTTAATTAAATTGCTCGTCGCAGTCGGTATGACTAACGAGGAACATAATTTGGATCGTCTGCTTTTAATTATTTTTCTAAATGTTGCAGCTCGGAAAAAAAAGAAATACAAGTTAAACAAATACGTGGTACCATTGATCGTCGGATTCCTCTTGATAAAGTCGATCCTCTTGCCGATCGCGTTGAAGGCTCTCGCTGTTTTGAGTGGCAAAGCCGTTGTTCTAAGTCTGATGAGTCTCATTCTTGCTGCCATCGTAGGTCTCAAGAAAGTTGCGCAAAGTTCATCTAGCAATAGTTATGATGTCGTCAATATACCGTCGAGCAAATACAGGCGTAAAGATGCTTACGACGTGGTGGATGACTTTGAAGAGGAAGAACCTTATAGATTTTACAGAGAATATCGTAAGAAGAAGTAAAAGCATAAATGACACTTTCCCGAATTGTTTATTCACTTTTCCTTTGTCCCAATTATATCATGCAAAGGATGTTAATAAACAAATTACGCGCGTTCATACTAATGCGGAATAATTTGTATAATTGTATTAATTTTGTATAATTATGTTACTCTTTCGTAGCTCTTAAATTTAAGAAGATATTAATTTGCACATAGTTTTTTGTAAATAGTTACTAAGTATTTTTATAATTCAGAAAGCTGTTTTATAAAGAGAATAATACAGTTTTTGCTCGATACTAAACGTGTTAATGATTAAGAACAAGTTTTTGTAAAGCATCTATGAAAGAAATGCCTTTAACGAAGTGTAAATTATTTATATACATAAATTGTCGATGTTTTAAAATCTTTGAAAAATAAGAAAAAAATATGTTAAAATTACTTATTAACAATAGATTATTATAAGAATATGTCATTGTTAAAATAATAAACATTCTTCCTATTGTTATTATTTCTATATAATCTTTTTAAAAGCTCATTTGTTCTTTTCTTATATCAATCTTATGTATAATGTATTATTTAGACTAAACGAAATATTAACACTTTACCGACCGCTAGCGGTTCAACAGCATGCGCACGTCCGACCGGCCGCTCAGCCGCAGATTCTCCCTGGCGCCGGCTGTTTTTCGGTCTAGATCATCGCACGAGAGTATCTGTGCGTTTTGTATGCTCAGATAAAATTGTCCGCTTTCTGTTATTATAGGATAATTAGATTTAATAAAATGTTTTATTTTCAAGATGATATCGAAGATATTGAAGATATCGAAACAAAAAGTCGATTAATAGGCTATCGGTCGGTAAAGTATTAAAAGAGCATGAGAGAGATCATCTAAATCATCTAAAAAGAATAACAGATAGTAAAAAAGAATAGAAAAAATACAACCGAACATAGGAAGGAACACCTAGGAAAAAATAAAGATATGCTAGGGATATAAGACGCATTTGTCAGGTCATTGGCCCTGTTCTTCTATATCCTCTAACATCAAACAAGAAATCTTCTATTTCGTTGATTATTAAACAAGATATAAGCTTTGCGCTACATATTTAGAAATATTTTGTAACAGCGAACGTATTAAACGTCTTTAAAGAACAAAGATGAATCAACAAAAATATTCGCCATCCATAGTAAAACGAAACTTTCACCATTTAGAGTACACTTTCCTTTTCTTGTTCTACGAAGTGGCACTCATCATTTTTTGAACTTTATTTTCGGAAGTCTGAATGACACTTATGTGTGATTGATCGCGATGAATCAGATCTTTTGAATCTCTTTTGATATCTATTGTAATTGTAAGTCAAGTGAAGATTTATAATGTAACCCAGAAAGGTCAGTCGCGTGAAATTTTTCGATACTTACAAAACGAGATACCGTTAAATGAAAGAGAAAGAAAGAGAGAGAGAGAGGAGAGAGAGAGGACGAGGACAAAACTCTCACGATTCATAAGCGTACTGTTAAATATTTAAAGAGGCCCATCGAACGTTGAGTACAATGGAGTCCATCCGCGAATATGGTGTCTTTCGTTTTCAAGCTGGTTGTTATTCGAAAAATGACCCAGATGCAAGGCTGCTTACTTTTACGTTTGTGGCGCTTATAAATAATCACGTATTTGTTCACAAATTTCCTCCGACGAAACTAAATGCATTGTGTTGTCGTCGGTCAGTCGGTTGCCAATCTAATTTATCATGAAACAAATAGATTCTTTGTTTTCATAAGTTATAACAAATTTGAAAAATATGTAAATCTGTTAGTACGTTATAAAAGTTAAATTTTCATATTATTGTCCATGATTTTATAAACATAGATACATATTTCTATTCTATCTATAATGTCCACCGAAATATTATAAATTACTTACCGAAAAATAACAAGGAAGAAAAAACCATAAAAGATGAACTTGGAATTTCATATCATATTACATGCATTATATAAGAAATCTCATCGAAGACGTAACACGTAGGTCCACACGTTCCCATCGAGCATGTCTTTGGGTCAAGGTGAACGACTTTGTGCACGTGGACGCAACTAGATGCAAGGGTTCGAAGTCTTCTAACTAAACTATTGAAAATAGGTTACGAAATAGGCATAAAAATAAACTGTGGAATTCTATGAAAGATCGAGGACCTCATAGTAGATACGAGCTTTTTCTATTTACGTGTCCTTTACATTTTCCTCTCTTGAAACAGAATATCGTTTTTGATGAGCTGCCAGAAATGTGGTCGTGTAGTTTCTACGAAGAAACTCTTACAATGCAAATATAGTTACGAGCGACCTGTCCCATCCGGTAGAATTTATGAATCTCTCTTTGTTCGTGCTTTTTCCTGTCAAATGATCAGTTTGTTTAAGATCGTTGTAATATCCCCAGATAATTATTTGAGATGATTTATCGATCTTTAAACTTTCTTTTCCTATTTATTTCACCTTTTTAAATAATTAAATTCAAAAAATGCGTATTTGTTAAATCTAACTTTTCAATGTATAGGTATATATCTACATTTTTATTCTTTTCATTTTACTTCATTTACCTTTATGAGGATATTATGGTTGACTGGTAACAATTAAAAGGGCATCAGATCCTGAAATTACAAAAAGGATCCCAGGACGATGATAGAATCCCTAATCCGAGCATATAAGAAGTATGTCTCCCCTACTGACCTAAATAGCGATGTACCCAAGAAAAACCACTGAGAGTGAGCTCTTCTTCGACGAAAGAGCAACGACTAGGCATGATAAGGTACGTTGACGCCACGGAGGAGGTGCCGAGCATTTGTTTAAAAAATTATCGAGGAAAGTTCAGACAAGGAAGTGGCATCTCCACCAACATCCCATTTAAGTGTATACTAATGCTATGATGAGTTCGCGCGAGCACTTGAAGCTACGTGTTGTCATCATCGTTATACGCTTCGACGTATGTTAGGTGGGGGAATATTGGGGGATCCTCCCTCTAGAATACACGCCTATAAAGATCGAAGCTACGGAGGACCAGATCACACTTTGCTTCGAAAATTTTCCAAAGGAAGATCTTCGCTTTGTAGTCAGTGTTTCTCGTGTTTTTTTAGAGTGAATCCGAAAGTTGGAAACCAAATAAAGAAAAGATGAACAAATTACTGATCTTGGGATTCCTTGTTAATGCTGCAATGGCGGTACCAACTTCGGAGGTTCTGCAAAACAGAGAGCTCGACTGTTTGGAGCATGAGAATGAATTATTTAGTTGTATCTTCGTTAAAGCTGTCACCACATTGGACAGAGCTGCTAGGTCCAATGATATTCAACTGATCGATAGTGTAGTCTTCGTACGAGATAAACCGAGTAAGTTTTTTCTACTGCCAAGTCAATTTTTAAACGAGATATTTTAATTAACATTCTTCTTTGTAGTGGAACGTACCGCGAAGAATCTTAAGACTGAATTAGATGTGATGAACGAACTACCAAAGGATACCTCTGATAGGGCTTTCAAACTCGTCAGCATGCTCTTCGACTCGGCCATGTCCTTTATGAAGAGTCATAGCTTGAAGATCAGCATGCCAGAAGAATTCAGTTCTCGTGCACTAACCGAAGGTACTCAAATCATTTAGCGCTTATAGAAACGGAACAAGTACAGTCGTTTTCGATGATATAATCGTGATCTTCTTTGCGATTGCTTCATTGACGTCACGGATTTGCGGCGTCACAACTTACAAATACGGACGAATAAAATCCGCCTTTCACCTTCGTGATAACTATACACACCGAGTCTCAAGTCATTCCGGATAAACTTGTTCCCTCGAATAGCCATGCGATTCGCTTTTCATCTCAAATTGTGATGAATAATAAAAAACTTTTTTTTTTTAAATGAACGAATTAATGTAAACGAGTTCGGATTTAAAACGACCGGTTGTAATTGATAATGAGACTAATAGACATTTGCTTTTAAATATGACTATCTTTTTATACAATATTTGATTTCAGCTCGTGGCAAAATCAAGAAAATCATCTTGCCTCTGATCGTCGCAGTTGGCTTAAAAATTTTCGCACTCGTTCCAATCCTTTTTGGAGGTTTGGGTCTGCTTGCGTTAAAGGCATATTTTGTTGGTAAAATAGCGCTCCTATTGGCAGGCATTCTCTTTTTCCAAAAAATATTTGGAAGTGGCAGCATGGCTAGTAATATTTTCGGAAAGTCACCATCACTTGGTGGCAATTGGTACGAGCCATCTACTCAAGGGTGGCCTTCTGCTGGAGCTGGAGTTCAACAAGGATATTATAGAAGGAGCTTGGACGACACTACTGGAAAAATCGATTCTCATTCTCTTGCCTACTCGGCTTACGAACCCATTACGAACGAATCTCAATAAACAACTTTCCATTCAATGAATTTTCCATTCGAAAATATTATCGAGAGATCGCTGGAGTATGATCATATACATATCTCTCATGATTTAAGTAGACCTCTTGTAGGTAATCTTATCCACCGATAATGACTGGTAGACTAATATTTATATATAATATTTAAAATAATTTGTATACTTCATGTAAATTATTTAAACTCTCAAATATAATACATTTTTTCTACTATATACGATTTATTCTTATTACCTACACGTTTTTCTCGTCCGATCAAGAAAAAAAAAAATTGGAAAGATGTCCAATCGAAAGAAACGCAAAGATGTCCGTTTTCAAAATTTACAGATATGTCAAGAACGATTTCTAGTTTGGAGAAATTATCAAGATGCATATCCTAATGTCATGCGTGAATACAAAGTACGTGATTAGTTTTATTATCAGTCGGCAGATCAGTCGGCAAAAGCTTAAAAGGTGATCTGGCTTCAATTGCATGTCGATTTTCATGCGAACTGACAATGCGGTATATCGGCCTCATATGCGATTCGAATTGAACATGGACATACCTACGAGGTCATTTACTCCCCCACCTGTGAAATTCTCGCACCTTCCTTTTATCTTTCTCTTTTCTTCGTCGTTTTTTTCACTTGCTATCTTTACTTTTTCTTTCTTTCTCTCTGACACTTAATAAAACAAAATTTATCGAAACAAACTTTATATGATATTATCTCACAAATAGGTACAGAAATAATAATTTTTAATAAATCATTATTCAGCGTTGTAATAATACCTTTATCTATAGACGAGAGTATATTCATGATTTTGAAGCAT